GAACTAACAGAGCCATTGACCAGTAGTTACATAATAAAGGCTCAGCTCATTGTAGCAACACAAATAATATCTGAGAGTCAAGAATACAAAGGTTCAATAACTTACTTTACAGGAGCAAATCCAGAACAGTTTATTTTAAGACACTTATGTGAGAAATATGCATTAGGATTATTGAGGGATTAAGAATTCATCCTAATACGAGAGAATTGGAATAATATACATGTAGACTGAATAAATCTTTTTTACTGCTTGATATATTACATTAAAAAAGCTTAAAGAAAACAATAAGTCAAGCTGGCGTACTCTTTAGATCTGAGGCTGTTGGGCCTGGAAGACCTTATGGCAATGAGGAGGTTATGGACCAAGGCTTGGCTAAAGGTGAGGACAATATGGTACATTCAGATTCTCATCAAATTTTTCTATTTTTAGAAGGCAATGATCTCTTACAATGATATCCCAGTGTTGTTAAAGTACATTTGATTGATTCAATACCAGTGTGACCTTGTAATATGCAGACACTTTTATAGTATGTCATATGCACTTAAGAGTTGTGAAAAGAGTTTTCTATTCACTTAAATGTCTATCACGAGGGATGCTTGCTTTTTTCATATTTTTTATTGTACTTTGAAAAGTTCTACTTTGTAGTCGTCTTGTGCTGTTCGGCGTGCATGTGTGCTTGTATCTGAGTGGGAGGGTGACACATTAATCTTGTTATCAAAATATCCATTCATTTTGAAATTTTTACAGTGAAAGCTAGGGCAGACTTAGTACCAAGATCTAGGTTTTGGCCATGCTAGATAAAATATTCAGCTTCAAAGTGCAATCATTGTATGTCTTGGTATATTGAATACATTAAATATGTAATTTTACTGATTTATTATTTATTTTTACTCAAATGAATTTCTGAAGCACAAAAAATTATATTCCATGATGTTAAGATAATTTTTTATAACCAAAACTTGTTTATTCTGTACCTTCAAGATGTTAATCAATTTCCATGTCATTGTTAAAGGGATTGTATTCTCTTCCTAGATTACTATGAATTATTCCCTTTAAATAGTAGATAAGGTAGGAGCAGTAAACTAGTTTTTATGATGTTGTTATGGGTCTCTCTTTTTTCTGATGGCAGTGGGGGGGGGGTGTGCGGCAGGTTTCAATTGGTAGTTGGCAGTTGGCATCTATAACAAATTCTTACAACTACCAATAACTTAACAAATACAGTTAAGACTGACATCAAAATATTCTACAAGTTTTCAGAAGTTCAAATCTGACTTAAGATTTAAGATTTGAACTTCAATGACCTTCTCAAGATCAAAAAAGGTCAAGTTGCTTCAAAATTTTCTAAATCATCTTCAAGGTCAGTGAAAACAGTCTTGTAGACCAGAATTAGTTGTAGAATTTATGGAGATATCTGCATCTAGAAAACAAACCCCAAGCAAAATTAGAAGCTTATGTGATGATATATGATCACTTTTTTAAGATCAATGAGCTAGATGTACATTCTAGGTTGATTGATTAATGTGTAGGATTTTATACATTGCTGGGAGGAAGTGGCATTGTCTCATACAGTTCTTTTTCATGATGGAGATTAATAGAATCTATATAGAATCTATATATAGGTCACTTAAGTTGAATTGAATGTTATTGATTCAGTTAAAAGTGTGTCTCGGTAAACACTTTAAAAGGTTTTCATGACATTCTTACTTTCTAATTGCCTGCAGTGATGTCACAAAACAAACTAACTAACTTCCCGTAAACATCAATAACCCTAAAAGAATGAATATTATCAATAACAGGCCTCCTAGACTTCTAACAACACGAACATCAGTTCTGAGCTCGTGAACTACATTCCTTGCATTCGAACCATGATTCTCACGTCGCGAACGAGAAATCTTGAGTCATGCACCAACATTTTCTCAGTCCCGGACATATTTCTCCACTCACGAACATAGATCCATGCTCGCGAACTACACACATAATCTAAAAACTTCGTAATTTTTTTTTGTATTATTACGCTTAACTAGAATCCCAATGAAATGTTTTTATTTATTTTCCCAGCTTTCATGCATGTTAACACGGGCTTTCTCTAATTGAAAGCCCTGATGATGTTAATGAATTTCCTCTAATTGATAACAGAAAACACAAAAATAAAAATAATCCCATGCATTGGCATTTTCAGTGAAAGGGCTAGGTAATAAAAACAAAAACATGGCTTTTCATTGGCTGCAGAAAGTCTATGACTCTATTGGAATACACATGTTTATGTATGAGGGTCAATTTAAACTGCAACCAGACTCCTGTTGTTGCTTGCAATTGAAACCCTAAATACCCGGATGAACTATGTACAAATTGTTTGTGAGCATGGATCTCTGTTAGCGAATGGAGAAATATTTCGAGAGCGAGGAAATGGTGGTGCGGGACTAAAGATTTCACGTTCGCGATGTGAGAATCGTAGTTCGAGCGCAAGGAACATAGTTCGCGATCTCAGAACTGATATTCGCATTGATGAAAGTCTAGGAGGCCTGAATAATCAATGAATACATTTGTGCTATTTTTGGCTCACACAGTGAGCCTATGGGATTGACCAGGCGTCCGTCCGTCCGTTGGTCCGTCCGTCTGTCCGTCCGTCCGTCCGTCAACATTGGCCGCACAAATTAAAACTGCTATTCGGATTGAGTCATATCCACATTCATTTTATGCATATCCATAATGCCTATTTGACCTATCGTCGCCATTTCCCGAGTTCGCCCGGTTTCCGAGAAATTGCGGATTTTGACGTCAAAAAGTCAAATTTTCTGTAAATACTAGACACTTTGTTGAAGTAGAACTTTCAAATAACTTTTAGTAGTTGGTGTATATGCAACTTATGTCCTCTGAAGATTTCAAAGCTCTTGGAATTACGGTTTTTGGTGTTTACTCTATAAAATTTGAAAAAAAGTAGGACTTAGTCATTTTCAGGAAACTTTCTCATGTATAAAGTCAATGGCAGGTTTTGTGATTGACAAGATTCTTAAAGTTTGCCTTATACTTGATCATTTCTTGCAATAAATTACATCATTAATAGATTCAAGCATTCCCTACATATTTCTCAATATATGTCAACATCAAATTTCTACCATTTTTGAGATATTTGACGTCAAAAAACAGTAAAAATAAGTTATTTTTCAACTTGCTTCAATTTGACCAAATATTTTTTTGAAAATCATCTACAAGTTGCCAGGAGTTCAAATCTGACATTAGTTTTAGGATTTGACCTTTACCTGACCTTCAGTGACCTTCAAAAGGTTTTTGGATATAAATTTTGGTCAGCTTAATCACAAAAGACCTTACTGAGCTCTGAATAAGTAAAATTTTCAAGGTCAAAGGTCATCAAACTAGGTCACACAACTATGCTATCTAAGTTTCTTAAAGTTCGAGACTACAAATCCAAATCAATATTTTTGTTTGAAAGTCAGGATATAAATTCCTCTGAAGGTTCCAAACTGTGTGAGCACAGGACCGTGGGTCCTTCATTTATCCTACACTTATAGTGTACTAAATGTATAACATCAAAAATGACATCTATTGGCAAATGAATAACTAGAGGATTATTGCCACAATTTTACCCCTGGCCTCAGAGCTCTCAGAGCAATGTAGACTGAATCATTCCTGCGCAGCATTGAGTGTGAAGTTTAGGAAATAATGCCCAAGTGGAATGAATCAGCCACAATGCATCAAGTCTTGGGCTTAAATTCTTTTCAGACACTGTAAAATGTTTTCTATGAACTCACCTTAGAGACAAAATCGTGACTTGTCTTACTACATGAAAATGAATTATATTTAAACTATACATTTGTACATTATAATTTTATTCAAGTCCGAATTGAATGTTCTGTGAATGGTATGCTTGAAACCAATAAAAAAATTTATATTTTTTCTCATAATAAATTGAAACATGCAATGTGATTACCTTTTTTTTATGTGTACACTCTACTATACCTTGCATTTGGTTTACATTTAGCAACCCATTTGGCTTATTAGTAATGATTATTAGTTATATATTTGTTTTTATTTGTCTGTTCCTTATTAATGGTTTATGGGTTGAATGTTAGATGTTAGTAAGGTACTTTCAAAAATATACTAAACAATACAATTAGACAAACGGAGTATCTTATGCATTTCTAGGTGTTATGTATAGTAGAGTGTAGGATCTTATTGAAAGTATAAATGTTACATACACATTTCAGCTTTGTAATTAAGCATACGCCTCATTTGGCGGAACAGCAATTAGAAATGAAATATGAATTCATTTACTATATGCAAGATAAGAACTAGAAACTAACTATATTGATATTAATACATATGATTAACCTGGTTGTGAAAGAAAACCAGCACACTCACACACCTTTCAATAAATGTTGAAGTGAGGTTCAAGATTTTGATAATTAAATCAGTTTTATTTGATAAACTATTGATAATAATAATTTGTCTCGCTGGTTTTTCAATTTAGAATAATCGAAATTAGATTTAGTGTCGCAAGAAAATTAAGAGTGGGGACATGCTATTAGTGTCTTAAAGAAATTGTGTTTTTTTAATGGATGTTTCATTAGCACACCCACAAACTTAAAATCATTAATGAAAATTATTAAAAACAGAACATTTTGTTATTGTGTTGCTATATACCCTGTTACATACATGACTGTCTCAAAATGAGGACTTTGATCGCCAAGCCATGTCTAAGATATCAAGTTCATAATTAAGAATGCTATTCATTTGAAAAAAAAGAAAAGAAATTCATTTGAGGTTATACGAAAGTATAAATATTTACTGCTTGAGTTAGGTTTCGAGTTAAGCTAGTCAAACCATAAGACTTTAGTAATAGAATATTATATAATGTTGCCTTAAATAACATAAAGGCATATGACCTCAAGTTAACATTATGTTACATATTAACTTTTATCATCTTATGAGATTGTATTATGTTAAGTATAGATTATTTTCATAAGATATGAACGTATTGAGGTTATATGAATATGTTCTGAACTACATGCAGACAAGTTGGTTGAACTCTCACAAGTTATATGAAGTAACAAGTGGTACTACCATGTAATTAGCATCACTGTATGCGTCTTAGGAGGAGGATATTTGATTAAATACTTGAAAACTGTTGCAGCAAACGAACAACAATTGCAATGGAAGGAATGGATGTTGTATGTTCATTTTTATGTCACCGACAGAAATGGTGACATATTGTTCAAATCTCCAACTTTTTTGGGGACGGTATTTAGCGGTTGGTGTTGGGTGATTGTTGTTGTTCAGCAATTAGTGTTCGGTGGTCAGTGTTCGGCATCTATATCAAATGGCAGGTAGTAACATTTTTTATGTAAATGCCTTGTTTACTTTTTATGCTTGGAGTAAGAGGAAAGATTGATAACAAAGAGGGGCATTGGGGACCAAGTAGGGAATAAGATATAATATAACAGGATAGAAGAAAATGAAAGAGAGGGAGCAGGGTCACACCTAGTGAGAGGGGAAGCTAGCTAAATGGCAGGAGATAACATCAAGTTCCAAGAGGCCAATGCTTTACAAATGACATATGGTTGCTTCAATTTTCAATAATTGCTGCATGTGTCTCATTGATGCCAGTGTCAGTTACTAGAATATTTGGTTTTGCCATATTATATAAAGTCAAGTTTTTGTCTTATAATAGGAAATAGGAATCTAAAATGTAAAACTAATACTGTGTATACAATCTTATAAAAAATATGGATTGATACCTGCTGTACCTGAACACTGGAATATTCATTGAGAAGTCATGATTTGTCACATGGACACCTTTATATTTGACAGCTTGATTGTCATTATGGCCAATATTATGTCAGAGATACTATAGTGTTGCCAACGATTATTCATATAATATTAACATAACCAGACCTGGATATTGTTGGACCCCTGGGTCGGTCCAATTCATTATTAAAATTGTCTAATTTTGTAAAGAATCAACAAACAAGTCAATTCCTTAATACTCATACTTTATTTAATAATTTTGAAGTTTAGTCCAAACAGTTACAAAAATACATCTTCACAATCTAAAGCCAAGCCGAAAAGGTCTACAAATTCTTTACAACTGCCTTTTATAGTAAGACAGAAGGAAGAAAAACTATAAAATACAATGCAATTAATCATTTATAAACATCTCACAAATAAAGAAATAGGAATATTCTCAAAGAATATTCCCTATCATTTATAAACATCTCACAAATAAGGAATAAAGAATATTCACAAGGAATATTCTCCATCATTTATAAACATCTCACAAATAAGGAATAAAGAATATTCACAAGGAATATTCCCTAAGAATAAAGCAATAAATTTAGAATGACTGACTCAGGGTCAGAAAGAGTCCAAGGAATAAGACATTTAAAAGATAAACACATATAAACAAATCTTACTGATGGATTTCTTCTCAAAGGTCAGCTACATGTCATAGAAGGAATAAGCAATTAAAAATATTCTCAACTGTCAACAACATGACATAGTGTGAAGAAGTCAAGGAATAATGTATCTCTGGCAAGGTCAGCAAGAAGCCAAAAATGAAGAAACTAATAAATCAATCAGTCCTAATATGAACTAAAAACCCTAAAATAAAATGTCCAACACATCACCCTCCCCAGTTCAAATTTACTCCTGGAAATTTTACACCGATTGAAACCTTACAATTGTTACTAATAACTGTCACACATAAAAAAACAATATATCAATTTCAAATTGTACAACTTAAGTAAAATTACATCTGCATAATTTAATCAATCTACAATAAAAGTTTAGGCTATTACCACTTTAAATGTCAAATCACCATTTAACAACATTCACTGAAGGTCTCAATTCTTCCACCTGTACAGTGGTGGGTCAATTAGGATAAAATCCTTATCTTTAACAAGTATGTTCAGTTTCAGGGATCTATTACCAATTTACCAGAGCACTGTCTTCTAATGTTCTCACTGTGCCAACTTAAGGTCATTTAAACACAATATAAATTTGTCTATATAAAATCTAAGGGCACACAATCAAATAAGGAAACAGTAAATTTCCATTGCACAAAGTTGCAAAATCATTAGAAATAAATGTCCAAAATATTTCCTTAAATAAAACTACAACCAAAATTGTCAAAACATAAATTACAGCGTTTCTCTGCTCCTCCAAAACATTTTCATGTGCACTTTAATCGATCAATGTCACTTGCAAGATCCCTACACAGTAGCGTGAATATTCAGTGTTCTCAAAGGGGCCCTTCACCCAACAGCTAGGTTACTCTCCCAAAATATGAATCACTGCACGTTATACCCGTACTCCAAAATGGCCATTCAGAATCTTGCATAATCGATCACGAAAGACAACAGCTACACACATATTAATCGAACACAGTCGCTTCAAAAACAATTGATCGCATCGGTATCACACACATAATCATTGTTCTCCATATATTTAGTCTGACACTGAGGTTATTAGATACGTCGCTGTTTGGTCACTCTGCATTGAGATGTGTCAGATGCGCACAAAACACACCGATTTAGAGTCTGCAAGAAGAAAGGCCTTGGAACCTTATAACACAGCCCTTGCCAACAACAAGGATACCTTGAGCATTGTCATACTAATTGTTCCTCGATATCTCCTCTAGATCACCTATCATCATCAGGTATACAGTTAACATAATGCTCAGATACTTTCTGGGCCCTACTCTATCTGAGTCAAAACGCAATATTTCCGGAAATCAATCATCAATCACATCTGCGTGATTGGAACTTGGGTACCACTCAATACTCCAAAACATTCAGCTCTCCCTTGGCTGAAGTCACCATCAAAAGTCAGGTATAGGCATACTCGTCCCTATGCCTTTCTACAAGATATGGGCTGATATACAAATTCTACAGTGTAACGACCTGCCAAGAACCATCAGCTTGCATGTCTCTACCCGATGTAGCACAATAAAACTCAAAATCCCTGTACAATGAGGAATGTGCCCTCTCATTGTTATCGGTCTTCACGAAGCAACTTCTATATCCCAGATATCAAATTGCTATCTCCATGATGCAAGGTCCTCAAAACAAAAGTCATAATAAGCAGAGACACTTAACATCTCTGATACCACAGCGATTGTTCCTTACTCGACATCATACATAAATCGACTATATGATTATGCAATGTCTCGTCTCTGAGTCCATACAACTATGTGAAGCTGGATATCGAAGCAATTCATATCCTGAGTTGACATCTTCAGATATGTAAACACATAAAACGAGTACTTTATCCAAAAGTCTAACTTGTTCACAAGAATATATCCTTTAATTTTGAGAAATGTCCGCGTCTGTCCAATCAAATCCAACATCAAATACATGAGCCTGACAACTCGTTTTCCGTTCTGATGAAATTGTTCAGCATTGTCTCAAAATAATAGCATCCTAATCCTGTACAACAATCTCTTAAAACACTTCCAAAGCAGCCATACTTTTTCCTGCTTTTCTCTCAAAATTTTCCAAGTTCAAATTTTGCAAAACAAAATAATGGTCACTGAGAGTTCATCAGCTGGCTTGCTGATAAACAGCAACTGAAGCAATGGACAGTAAGTCCATTTGTTTACCTCAATCAAAGCAACTCAAAATAATGTTCAATCTTAGTTTCTTGTTTACATCATATTTCCAGATCTAAATATTCCAATTCCTTCTGTTTATGAATCCATAGATCAATTTGATCAGTTCTAATCCTAAATAATACATTCACTAAATTTGGTAGCGTTTTTCAATCAAAAGCATGTTAAAGTCCGTAATTATAAGTCTCCAGAAATCCTTACGAAATGTTATATAAAATCCCACCGCTGCCACCAGTGTTGGACCCCTCTGTCGGTCCAATTCATTATTAAAATTGTCTAATTTTGTAAAGAATCAACAAACAAGTCAATTCCTTAATACTCATACTTTATTTAATAATTTTGAAGTTTAGTCCAAACAGTTACAAAAATACATCTTCACAATCTAAAGCCAAGCCGAAAAGGTCTACAAATTCTTTACAACTGCCTTTTATAGTAAGACAGAAGGAAGAAAAACTATAAAATACAATGCAATTAATCATTTATAAACATCTCACAAATAAAGAAATAGGAATATTCTCAAAGAATATTCCCTATCATTTATAAACATCTCACAAATAAGGAATAAAGAATATTCACAAGGAATATTCTCCATCATTTATAAACATCTCACAAATAAGGAATAAAGAATATTCACAAGGAATATTCCCTAAGAATAAAGCAATAAATTTAGAATGACTGACTCAGGGTCAGAAAGAGTCCAAGGAATAAGACATTTAAAAGATAAACACATATAAACAAATCTTACTGATGGATTTCTTCTCAAAGGTCAGCTACATGTCATAGAAGGAATAAGCAATTAAAAATATTCTCAACTGTCAACAACATGACATAGTGTGAAGAAGTCAAGGAATAATGTATCTCTGGCAAGGTCAGCAAGAAGCCAAAAATGAAGAAACTAATAAATCAATCAGTCCTAATATGAACTAAAAACCCTAAAATAAAATGTCCAACAATATTAACCTATAAGCTATTTGATACAAAGCGACAGCACACCATACAGTATACAAGTATACAGTATGTGTGTTTTGCCTGTCTGCCATCAGTATTTTGTGTCCTTAAGTTAGGGCCACCGTACAGTCGTACTTGACTGTTCATAACTATATCATTGATGTTGATTTTCACTGTAATGGGAGCACAATTTTCTTTTTGCTTGTTTATAAAACGATTAGGCAATTACCCGTTATATTATTTTGCACATGCATATTAACATCTCAACTTGGTTTACATCAATGGAGAAATTGATGTCATAATTTGTTCAGCAAATGTTTCTCACTACATCTTTCTTTGGCCATTTAATTGCTGAAACCTGGTTTGATTGAGAGCTTCCAAGCTAGACACAAATGACTATATAACATTAGGAATTGAGTAATAATGTCATCAGAGGTTATTACCTCTGAATGGAAGACAGCCAATGATGAATATGTAGGGATATGAACCACTGAGTGTCAAACCAAAAGGGACATTGATGTAATTGACCTGATTTAAAAGTATGCCAAACCAGCTTCCTTGTAAAAAAGTTCCGCATCTCAAACCATTACTGAATTGTGCAGGTTCAATCTTAATATAGTGAACCATGCAAAATTGTTCTCTTTTGTTGGTCATGATATGCAAAGTTTCCATATTTTAATCATAGATAAGGTGCAGGTACATTGTACATAGGTACTAGGTAGAAGCCTGCTTTCAAAATCCCAAGCTGGTTCAGCATCTACTTACCACAATTTTGGGGAGATCCCTGATATTTATCAGTACTATTTTTTCAATATCATTGTGTTTGGCTTTAAAATATATATCCATTGTTGACTTATTATTGCAGCGATTTTATAAACATTGTTGCCATTGTAATTACTGGTGATATAAGCAATGATATTACATATTGTGTAAAAGATAGGGTAAAACCTTTTGATATGCAAATTATTTAGCTTGGTAACAATTGGCTTGCTCTCAAGTTATTCATTTTTCTATGACTTTTTGGATAAACCAGTTGATATGTTCAAGCTTTTTAGAAAATATCCATCTCTTTGTATATTCCAGGAGAGTCAACTTCATGCTTTAGCTCTGCATAACAGTATGGATATGGCGGGGTACGGGGACAACACCCATCAAGTTCCGAGCCAGATGGACCAATTCACGGTTGTTAAACCAAAGCTGGAACCTGACTCCCTTGAGGAAAGTTGCGGAGGGGCAGTTCGAAATAGTACGAAGCCACGGACACGGCGGCATAAACCTAAGGAAGTATCAGACCTTGTCTGTGGAATCTGTGGAGACAGGGCTCTTGGGTACAACTTTGACGCTGTCACTTGTGAATCCTGTAAGGCCTTTTTCAGGAGGAATGCTCATAAATCAAAGGTAGGATCCCTTTTTTGTTTCTTATTTAGAATGCACACGCCCGGTGATCGTGAAAATGGGACGGAGGGGGGGAGCAAGCAATTTCTGGTAGAAAAATGAACAAATCTGCAAAAAATATTTTTTCAAGAAAAGGTTTATGATTTAATTGCTAAACGAATAGGCGCACGGTATGGTAAAATATGTCACGTATTCTACGAATTTTTTTTAGCCAATTCTCTTCTTAGGTATAAGATCTATTAAAAAAAGGCGCAACGCCACCAACGTGCAAAAGTCAATGTTTTTGCTTTAAATCAAGCATCAACGGTCTATACAACCTGCAATAAATATTTGTTAGTGACATTATCATCATAAAATTAATGACCTTAATGACTTTACAAAATATGTTTCCATACGTTGTATAAAAAATAATCGAAAATAATTAAAATGGGACGGAGGGGGGGACGGAGGGGGGGAGCAAAATGTCTATACGACATGATGAGAGATGTTACTTCACTTTATATCCAAATTTTCCCATTTTCTCCTCAATTACAATGGGTTAGGAATTGATAACAAGTTGTATTCGTAGTTAGATTTATTTAGGATTATCAAAATCTTGGAGGAGAGCGTTTATCTTTTTATGTGTATAATAGTTTTTTATTTTTTGAAGACTTATCATAAAAATGTAGACATCGCATCATATTTCTATTTGGACATGCAAGTTTTCGAGTAAGCAGTTACTAAAGTTGTTTCATTATTAACCTCGCTCCGGATATCTAGTATATGTTAATATTTTTGATTATGTTGGTCTTCAGCAGATGTAGAATTTAGACTAAATAATCTGCCAGGAAGTTTCCCAATTAGTGTACCCAATCATACCATGGGCACATCGCCTATTACGCCAAATACTGTACTGTACTTTGCATATATTTTCTCACATTAAGTGTAATATATGTATTTATTATGCAATATGCATCTCACATTTAGTGCAATATATGTATTTATTGTAACATTTGTCCTCGACCATATGCATTTTGCAATTCACATTTAGTGCAATATATGTATTTATTGTAATATTTGACCAAATGGGTGACACTCAGATATAAATGTACAGTGTATACTGTGTCTCATAAGTCGACACCGGCTGGTGATGTTACCAAATGTTATTCTTATTATGTATTTTACATGTCTATTGTAATATCAATGACACAAAAATAAACTATTTTAAAACTAAATCAAACTAAACCATTAACTGTATATATTGTAGATTCATCACATAAAAGCTTTGTAAAATCAACATCATAAACTATCAATGTAATGGATGGTTTCATCAACCTTGCCAGGTACACATAATAGACAACTTTGAATACCAGACTGATATTGTAACATTGAATTATGATGATAAGTAAATTATATCTTTGTAATAGTTTAAACTGGTAAAACCATGCAGAGTAGTATAATCAAGTAAAAAATAAAGTATCAAGTAACATCTCATATCATATCTTATAGACATATTGCTTCCCCCCTCCGTCCCCTCCCCCCCCCCCCCCCCCCTCCGTCCCATTTTAATTATTTTTGATTATTTTTTATACAACGTATGGAAACATATTTTGTAAAGTCATTAAGGTCATTAATTTTATGATGATAATGTCACTTACAAATATTTATTGCAGGTTGTGTAGACCGTTGATGCTTGATTTAAAGCAAAAACATTGACTTTTGCACGTTGGTGGCGTTGCGCCTTTTTTAATAGATCTTATACCTAAGAAGAGAATCGGCTAAAAAAAATTCGTAGAATACGTGACATATTTTACCATACCGTGCGCCTATTCGTTTAGCAATTAAATCATAAACCTTTTCTTGAAAAAATAATTTTTGCAGATTTGTTCATTTTTCTACCAGAAATTGCTTGCTCCCCCCTCCGTCCCATTTTCACGATCACCGGGCGTGATGCAGGGGTTTCACTAGCAGAAGGCAACAAGCGATTTTTACTGGTTGTTTTCACAAAATCGCCTGTTGTTTTTAGGAACTTTTCAATGTTAAATTTATGATTTCCATTAATTTTGCCTGTTGTTTTCATTTATTTAGCCTGTTGTAAAAATTCTAGTGAAACCCCTGAGAATGTTCCCTTTTCCCTTTTAATATGATCTTATTCCTCGATGCGAGTAGAAATAATCTTGATTTACTTCATTGAATATTCCAAATTTCATGTCTGGTGATTGGAAGAAATGAACAGAGGGGGAGTACCTGATTTTCGCTAGAAAATTCAACAAATCTGGTAGATTTATTTTTTCAAGAGAAAGTTTACAATTGAATTGTTAAATGAATAGGCGCAGTATACGGGGAAATGTGTGGATATTTTTGTGAACTGATAGACTTCTAAGACAAAAGATCTATTAAAAAAGGAGCAGCATCACCAACGTGCAAAGTTGAATGTTTTTGCTATAATCAAGCTACAATTGTCTACAGGACCTGTAATAAATAGGGGTCCCGCAATTGCTCGGATTTGCTCGAGCAATATGCCACGATACGAGCGTATCGATACTCACCTTGAATATCGGTTAAAAAATTGTATCGTTTTTAACTCCCCAAAACAGCAAAATCATGCTCCAAAGCAGCTTAAATACGATTGTATCTACCCAAGTACCCATTGTCCAGTTTCCATTTTGTTATCCGCCTAGCGTAATCCGGCGTAGAATGTATTTCCGGTTTCCGGTAAAAAATGGAGAAAAAGAAATAAATTCAAATTTCTCGAGAACGTAGTAGAAAGTCCAAAGTTTGGGATTATTTCGGTCATCCTCTTCAAGAAACATTGCTCGTATCGTTTGTATCGTATCGTGAGGTAAATATCGTTGCTCGTATCGAAATTGAAGATACTGTATCGTGGGACCCCTAGTAATAAATATGTTATATATAAGCAACGTTTTTGTCACAAAATTAATGTCATTGCCATTTTTAAAATGAGTTTCCAGACTTTAGATCAAAAATAATCGAAAATAATTAAAATTGAATGGAGGGGGGAGTTACAAGCCTTTAAGGTGAAAAAATTTGAAAAATGTACTCAGTAACAACTTGATGTTACAACTCTGAAAAGTAAAAAATAGGGATATATAGACATATGTGTTACAGACACATTACTCCCCCTCCATTCAGTTTTAATAATTTTTGATTATTTTTTGTATAACATATGGTAACGTGTTTTACAAAACGCAACAATGACAATAGTTTAGGTATAATAACTTCACTCACAAGTATTTATTACAGGTCGTGTACAGGTTGCTTGATTTATAGCAAAAACATTGGCATTTGCACATTGGCGACGCTGCGCCTTTTTAATAGATCTTTTATTTTAGAAGTCCATCAGTTCAAAAGAAATCCTAGAAGATCTAACACATTTCCCCGTGTACTGCACCTATTCATTTAGCCATTCAATTGGAAACTTTCTCTTTAAAAAATAAATCTCCAAGATTTGTTGAATATTCTTCCGAAAATCAGCTACTCCCTCCTCCGCCTCCGTTCAGGGAACACCTCCGTCCGTCTGTCTGTCCGTCCGTCCGTCCGTCCAAGGAATAACTCAAATACCGTTGGCCCGATTTTGTTCATATTTTGTTCACATATACCTTATGGGGGTAGAAGTTCTACTCGAAAGCCGATTTTCAAAATGGACGCTCATTTAAAAATGGCGGCCATTTTATTGCCGATTTTACAGTAATCTAGGTACAATATGTAAAACTGTAGCAATATGTTTTAAATGTAAAAAACTTATGTAGGACATTAATAAAGCTAGAAATGTATGTATTAAAGAAGCACATGGCAGCCATCTTGAAAAATGGCGGCCTTTACTCGCTATTTTACGATTTTTGCTGTAACTCAAAAAGTAGTAGAGTGATTTTGTTCATATTTGGTATGTGAATACTATAAGCATGGCACACTGTCTAATGACACTTTTGGTAGAAGGCGGCCATCCGCCATTTTAACGTATTTTACTATAACTCGAAAAGTACTGAAGCGATTTTGTTCATATTTGGTATGTGAATACTATAAGCATGGCACACTGTCTAATGACAATTTTGGTAGAAGGTGGCCATTTTGAAAAATGGCTGCCATTTTAATGTATTTTACTATAACACAAAAAGTAGTGGAGCATTTGGTATGTGAACACTATAAGCATGGCACACTGTCTAATGACAATTTTGGTAGAAGGTGGCCATTTTGAAAAATGGCTGCCATTTTTGCTAAATACTTTGTTTGTAAAAATGCCAACCATGGCTGTTCGATGGGATTTGCTACGCTTATCCCGTATGGACTGTTGCTACAAATTAACTCAAATGTAATAAACATACCTTCATTGAACTTAGTATGTAGTCTTAGTTCATATGACCATCTACATCGGCTTTTATTTAGTCTTTTCTAAAGAGCAATCTTTTGAAAAAGATCCTTCAGTAAAGACGGCCATTTTGTTTTTCGCTAAAGCGAGATAAAGATCAACCTCAACAGATGTTTTTATAAATGGCAAACCAAATGATTTTAAGTTTAGGCGAAAGCAAGCAATAGCTCATAAAGGAATTAGCATTCGTTTACATTCTATTTGATGAAATATTCTCATTACAATTTTTAGAATAATATCTAAAACAATCTTACTCCAGAATCAACGTTTTCACTAGAGCACGTTGGTCCACATGCCATGTCTTCTAGCCAAATAATTAGGCTAGAGACCCGAGTAAGTTCTATGTGTCATTGCCTCGCACTTCATAAAGTAGGTTAAAATTGATTAATATGACAATATCTATATCACAGAGTGGTAATGTCTAACTTTTTAACTTAGGAACAAGATAACTATACTCATAAATATCAAGAATTTTGCACAATTTTTGAACTTGAAAGCTGCTTTAAATTTGGACAAAATCACTACTAAAAAATCATCAGTAAAAAAGACTTATCAAGTCTTGCCAAAAGTGAGAAGTAATTGTGCTTGGGTCCCCAGCTGTAAGAGGCAGCTTCTCATAGCTGGGAACCCAAACACTGCTAAAAGGAGGGACTCTGTACTATAAAGTAATGTACCAACAGAAAGGCATTTTTTTGTTTTGCTTTTAAGAGAAGAAGTTTGAAGAAAAACGTTGCAGTATGAGACTCACAATCCTTGATTTTCAAACTCTGGCATATTTGGACCAGCGTAATATATTGCATATGTTGAATGCCTTTGAAGTAGTTTTATCAATCTTACACTAGGGCAAATGCAAGTCAGCTGCAGGTTTACTGTACATTACCATGCAGCTAGTCTACAGAGTAGCTGCAGCTTGTCTAATTTCCACAGCCACTATAGAAATAAAAGAAAAGTCATAACCCTGTGCTATAATTCTACAGCGACCCCTACAGCCTGAAAAAACTGGGATACCCCATACTGCCACCTGAAGGTGACCATTAGTTTTCTTCAGGAACCAAGGCTGCTATAGAGGCTGCCAATAGACTTGAACTTGAGCAACATGCAACTGAAGTACAGTTGAATTACTTCAATAATCATTAAAGCAATAAAGTTGCACTTTATGTGCGCATTATGTGCTAAATTATTTATCTGTCTAGAGTAAGATAAAACCCTGACCTTGACTACAGTGGTACTCAATGCTAGATTAAGTTGTTTTTTATTAGGGCCCTTGCTAAGAGAATACATGTTATTGATTTTGTCCGAACAAAAATTTATAATGTATACAAGTGGAGAAAATGAAAATCTGTTCATTTGTCTGTATTAATTACCCTTTGCATTCGTTCAACTTCACTTCTTAAAAGAGAGCTTCATCTTCGCTCTTTCAGTTTACAATGAATCTCTGATCTCATCGAGCCAATCTAAGTTCCTTGTCGGAAATATGGTCATTTCCTCTGACATCCCCGCATATATAATGAGCATGTATTTAGGACGTGTTCCTTCCACTTTGCTGATTGGTTGAGAAAGGGTCAGCGTGGTAGATTTGAAATTATTTATTACCTGGGCTGTCACAGGTACCAATTTTCGGGGCGACTGCTGCTAAACTGTAGTATTGTCTATACTAGGCAAATGTTGTTTTTGCTAAATCTCATCAAGGGAGATTTAAAGATCGATAACTGTACTCTCAGCACTGGATACAGATCATGAGATGGGTTGTCTTGCCTTGTTATTGGCAATAAATTAGAAAGACAGTCCAAACAAGTTTATTTCTGTGCTAATGCTTATATATAGGCATTTCTAATGTCTATGTGGCCTAAAGGTAATATTTATTAGGAAGTTAGAAGTACCGATTTATATTAAGTATCATAGATTTAATGACATTTACATTCATTATCTACTTGATACTGTATTTAACATATAACTAGGCTCAGATTATCCCAATGAACAAAGATTGGTTGGGATATAGTGAACCCCTCTGTCAGTCAGTCCGTCTATCCGTCCGTCTATCCGTCCGTCTGTAGAATCAACTTGTGTCATTATCGTGTCAAATTTGTCTGTCTGTCCGTCCCTAGACAGTGCCCTGTGATGTCACAATATGATGCAAATTCCAAGATACATCGCATAATGAACAGTTGTTTATCTATTGAGAATTAGAGAAAGACTAAGCTGCAACCTGATTGGAGAGAGATCCTAATAATGCTCATGTTTGAATCTATGTGAGATCCTAATAATGCTCATGTTTGAATCAATGTGAGATCCTAATAATGCTCATGTTTGAATCTATGTGAGATCCTAATATGGTCATGTTTGAATCTATGTGAGATCCTAATAATGCTCATGTTTGAATCTATGTGAGATCCTAAAATGGTCATGTTTGAATCTATGTGAGATCCTAATATGGTCATGTTTGAATCTATGTGAGATCCTAAAATGGTCATGTTTGAATCTATGTTACTCATTGTGCTGTTCTGTTTTTGACTTGTCTCATTTCTCTACTTTCAGGACTTGAAGTGTAGTTTTGAGGGATGCTGTAAACTTGACCCCCACACGAGGAAGTTTTGCTCATCATGCAGACTCAAAAAATGTCTCAGCATCGGCATGAAGAAAGACTGGATTCTTGGTAAATCTTGGTTCTACATGTTCTGTATGTAGTTTTGCATTAAATCTTCAGATTCCATAACCCCCCCCCCCCTACCCCCTTTAAACTATGTACTAAAAAGAATGGTTGTAATTGAGAGAAATAATTCTTATTGTTTATAAATATACAAGTAGTTGAAGCAGTTTATTTAGCATAAGATAGATACCTTTTTCAAATGAGCCCTTTGTGCAGAATTTAATTTTTTTTAAATATATATTCCTTTACTTTAGATGACTCTGAACTTGCTAGGCGGAGAGACAGGCGACTGCAGAAGGCTACAGGGACAAATAGGGCTAAACAACGAGACAGTATTGAAAGTCCTTCATCGACCATGTGTTCTCCACCATTCGGCTCAGGATCATACAGCCCTCCTAGTTCCACAGGTATGATAATGTGATGGTTCCCAAGGGATTATGGAATATGTTTTTGTGTTGCCAGTCCAGTTGATGAATTACATCAATGCATTTTGATAGATGTAGGAACTTAAAGAAATTCTGAAAATGATCTCGATTAGACATCATGTCTCGTAGAAATCATAATTTTGTTTGCGAAGATCCAGCCCATAATTTGCAATATTTGAAATATTTGAATCTGCATGCATATTTCTCTCACATTACTTCAAAGGGAAAATTTTAGTTTTTATTATAACATCGAAAAGTGAAAAGACTTAAAATGACAGGAGTTCAGATTTTCAGATTGTCAAATATTCCACTGTATTATATTTTTCTATACAACTTTTGAATTAAGTGAACGTCAACCAATATTCATTATTTCCACCATTTGATAAGTCATCATAAATCTGCTAAACATAAATATGCTAAACTTTCTAAATATAAAGATATTATCTGACTTTATTGAATTTATCACCTTTTAGATTTCACATTTACTTTTGAAAGAACCTAAAAAAAATATTTATCAATTTTTTTTGCTGTTCAGTGGCATCAGGTGGTTTCTAGTTAATATTTGTCAACCCCTCAATATTCTGATTGCATACAAAAATCAACATATTCTTTATAAAACCAATGAAAACGTTTCATTGAGGTAGAAAACAGTAAGACAAAGAAGTTTGAATTATTCTTGACTTCTCTGTAGTCTGTATTATAATATTGACTTCTCTGTAGTCTGTATTATAATATTGACTTCTCTGTAGGCTGTATTATAATATTGACTTCTCTGTAGTCTGTATTATAATATGTAGAACCAGTGAAGTCAGTCAGTGCATAATTCTTTTGAAACATAAACATGGCACACCATGCTGTATGCTCTTTGAATAGGAATAGAAGTGGAATGATCAATAATATGAAGTTGTTATGTCTATGTCTCTACATTTATCCCTGACCTACTCTCTTAACACATAAATCTGCTAGACCCTCTGACTATTAACAGTTTTGCCGCTGAACATAACAATATCAAATACATAACATTTCGGGGGAGGGTGTTATAGAAAAATGGATGTTAGCTATTTATAGGTAGAGAATATAATGTTTTGATTTAGAGGATATAAGGCTAACTCTAACTTAAAGAGAGGACTATATTTAGCTCTTGCAAATCATGCCCTTGACTTTTTCATTGATGGTGTTTACAGAATGTGGCATTTAACCAAAGTCCTAGATTATCAACTGTTTTTTTCTGGAGCACTAATTCAGTACTGAGAATGAGTACACATTCCTTTTAGTACACAATGTCATTAAAAACAAGGTTAATGGTTGCTAGGCTCAACTGCATTCAAGGTTGTTTGAGTCAATCGTGATAATTGCAGCATTAACAAGAGTGGAGCTGAGAGATGCTCTGCTTGCTGCTTTTGAATTAACGGGGTTATATTGTAATCAGATTGCACAGTGGGTGGACATGTGGGTGGGTCGGTGGGCTTAACTTGTTATGGGCATCCCAAAATCTTGTCTTCTGGTTTCTAGCCAAACCATTTGAAGGATCCAATTTTTAGGGATGTTTCTATGTATGAAAATTTATTTATTATTAGGAATAACTGTTCAAAAGGAAAAGTTGGAATAAGCATACACTGTGTGTTTTTGTGTAAAAGTAATGAATTGAAATGAATCTCTTAAAGAATTAGACATTGATAGAATAGATTTTACACAATAAAACTACCGTAAATGTAAATGATATTCATAGATATAATCTTTATGTCACCACCACAAATGTTGACATTTTGTTTTAGTCTCCAAATTTATTATGGACTGTGTTCAAATGTCAGTGTTTGGTGGTTGATGTTCATGTAACAAATGGCAGGTGGTGACAGTTTGCATGTAAAGCTAGCCGTACACCAATGGGACATGATGAGACATCAAGGGAGTTATTGAGTAAAATATTTTCATGGGACATGAAGGGACAAGTTCAGACATTCCCATGGAACATCAGGAGACATTGTCCCACGTTGTTCCTTTTTGTCCCAAGTTGTCCCCGGGACATTGTCCCAAGTTGTCCGATTTTGTCCCTTTTTGTCCCTTTATGTCCCAAGAAAAGAATGAACATGTTGATTATTTTCTTGGGACATTACCGGACAAATGAGGGGCATTTCATCACGTGATGATCATATGACCATTTTCTGACAAAATGGCGCTATATTCCAGACATCATCAGACAAAATGGGACAAGGTGGGACATTGTCCCATGATGTCCGGGGGACAAGAGTGGACAAGTTGGGACAAAACGGACAAAGGGACAAAGTCGGACATTGTCCCATTGGTGTACGGCTAGCTTTAGTGCCTTAATTTTTCAAAGAAAAAAGGTTTCTATTGTATCATTTTTTCGATACAAGATGTACATTATGTATTTTTCAGGCGTTGAGAGTATGTGTGCAGACAGTACAATATTCCACCAAGCCCCCATGGAGAACCCTTATATGCTACAAGCCCCTACCCAGTCACAGTCCCACCAACAGCAGCACAATATCTCCACAAGTCTACCTATGGATACGGCTACCAGCACTAGCTGCAGCTCCCTATCACCTCCTCCACCAACGACAAACATACCTGCTGCCAAAGCACCATCTCCAGACCTCACTCCCCAGGACTACATGGGCGATGCATCTCAAACTGAACTAAAAACAGTCCTCGATGCATTCCTGGAGTCCCAGTTACCTCAACATACCCGACAATTACTCCCAGAGGAAAATGCCCGCCTAGACACTCTGGTCAAGGGATACTACTCCGTGTTTGATCTACCATATAAGGAGCAAGAAACGAAGAATTTTAAACCGATGCCGTCAAGTTCAACGGAGATGTTTAACATGACAGATGTGTTCATTCGACGCTTGATTAAATTTGCCAAGGCAATTCCAGAGTTCAAGATGCTAGATCAGGAAGACCAGATAACCTTGCTGAAGGTAATGTTATCTCGACTTAAGAGTCTGATATAATGAGGGGTTTTAATATTCAACTTGTGTTGATATTGATTTTACGCCATTTTCCTTAAAAATCAATAGATTTTCATGTTTATTTGATGATTCTGTCTTATTCTCTTCTAAATTTTTGATTGTTGGGAATTAAGAAATCATTCTGTACATTATTTAGAATCTTTTAAATGATAATACTATTTGATATTAGGGATTAAAAGATGTTGTTTACTTGGGAGGAAATATATTATATTTCTTGCAACTTCTTTCAATTTCACCATAGCAAATTATATTACGTCATATACACGTATAATGTCATAAAGTATGGTTTCATTTTAATACTTTACAGTGTCCTCAAAATTGAGCTGTGTCACAAGAACACGTGGACCTTCACATCTGATAAAAATTTGAACCAAAATCAAAAAACTAAAAATTTGAAAGGAAATGCATATAAATAATTGTTGAGTTAATTATCTGTGAAGGAAATACAGTGTTTATTGGAAAGACCTTTTTGAGGTCAATAGTCCATGGAACTAGAAATAAAAAAATCCATGTAATGTGGAAAATACCCCCTTTCTTGAACATAGACTCATTTATTTTTCTCATGATATTATTAAGGTTCTTTATGAACTTGACAGATAGTGATGTTGTTGCGAGTTATGTATCCTAGGGCAATATCCCGCAGATTGGAAAGTCAAATGAATTATTATCATTTCATTTTCAGTTTATTAGTTTTATAATTGTCAGTACTAGCTTCATTTAAATACCATTGACTCCATAAATAATCTTTGTTTTTTATTAGCTCAATCACTCACTTCTCTGTCTGTCTGTCAACAACAATGGCATGATTTAAAACATCTGTCAATAGGATTCTCGTTTAATTTTTTTATTTTTGTTCATCTTCAATAAAGAAAGATTCCCTGCTCCAAAGCTCACCTATTTTCAATATGGCGGCCATTTGTGTTGCTCAAAATACATTTAGTAGCTTTATAAGTAATTTTTTTGTCCAGAAAAATAGCAACACTACACCATGTGACCCCAGTGCCCATGGCATGATTTTTTTCTTTTGGTAAAGCTAGTTCAGTTGAATATCTGGACAAGTTTTTGTTAAAATACAGTCTTAAATGTCAGAGTTTTTTAAGCTGACAAAACGACAAAATTGCAGCCCATGTGAGAACTATGGTGGTTCTTTTGAGTCAAAATTCATGTTGCTGTGAAAAGAAAAGTTCTTAATTATATTAAAATACATTTGTTACAGGGAAGTGTCATGGCAGTTATGATAATGCGAGGAGCGCACAAGTTTGATGCTCAGGTCAATGGATGGCAGTACAAAGACTCTGCTGGCACTAAGACCTTGCCAGGTATGCCTGTTATGAACCCTGGATGTCCTGACTTATTTAAATCAATCCGTGAGTTTGCGACAACACTAGCCTCTTTAACAAATGGAGATATGAAGATCATTATTCTTTTATATGCTCTCGAGTTATTCTCACCTGATCGTGTGAATGTTAAGAATAAAACTGGGATTTATCAGGCACAGGAGACCTATTCACAACTTTTGCAGAAATATTTATTGTTTATATTGCCTGAACATGAAGCGAAACAGATTTACCCAAAAATCTTAATGTTACTGGTGGATTTAAGAGCTCTGGCTGACAAGAATGAACAATCAGCGTCTCAAGTTGATATGACAAAGATGGAACCTCTTCTCTTGGAAATATTTAACTTGAGATAAAAGACCATTGGATTCATGTGTTATTTTATTACTGTTATGTACTCCTATTCATTGTTGCGGAATGAAGCTCAAGTATTAATACATGTATAGAAGTTGAACGTGTACATATATACATATGTACAAATATTTGCTCCAAAAATGCCAGGTCTATAGTCATATATATAAGGAATGAATGGCTTTGGAAAGAAAAGATGATAACCATATATGTATGGTGGATTTGAGTGAATTTCTAGCTGTATGTCCACAGCTGTATTAAGCTGGTCATTTGGGCAGTGTCCAGCGAATTTTGGATATAGATTAGCCAATCTCAAACTGTTCCATATGCTACTGTTCTTGCTACGATACTGTAGAGTACCATAAAATATGGTACCATACAGACTGGGTTATACCAGCTGGTGCATCATTCAATGTTGACCAGTACATTTCAAATTTTATGACATGCCCAAATTAGGAGCTATACAGTCATATGCTAATCTTACAAGCAAAAACAAGGTATTTATTTGAATATTGTCACGGGTTTAGATGGTTGATGTTTATGAAAAAAAGTATAAAAATATATAGCATAATGTCCTGTGGATGGTCTGTATATGTATTATAATATAGAAAATAACTAGCTGATTGTCATGAGAAAATTGTATATATACAGCTTAGTGCTGTCTTTTAGTGATAAACTTTATGACCCAGGGACATATTTTACCTCAATTTTAACCCGGGTAAATCATTGATTGTAATATTGCATCACTGCTTTTAGGCAATGTCTATATAGTCATTGTATGATATTTACGCTCATGTTTAGTCAACTTTGATTTAGTTTAGAATGTGAAGAATTTGATATGAGGTATTATTACTCTTTTTAGACACTGCAGTTAAAGCATGGCTAAGCCTGCATTTGCGAAAACAACAATCGGCTATTAGCTGCTTGTTTGACCTCTAATTCATAAGTTATTTGCATAAATTAAACTCGTCATTTTGAAGTGAAAATGAACAACCCGTTATTGTTGATAGATGAACAAACTCGTCAAATGGACAACCAGTTATTGTTTATAGTTGCATACGCGATGCAGCCTTACTGTGGTTTGAAAGTAGTCTGACTATCAGATGTAAATTTCAAAAACTTCAATGAAATCAACAGACAAACTATAGGCAATTTTGAGCACATGTTCTGTGTATATTTTATTGTCCACTTGTAGAAATATATTTTATAAATTATTTTATTTAGCACCTTATCAACTGAAGCAGATGTAATATTCATTTTGGCTGAATGTACTATATGATAAATGGTCTCAGGGAGCAATCATGGAATCAAATCACATTTCAGCACAATATGTAATCATCTTTTCATTTCATTTGAGTTACATATCTCACACAGACACCATAGGGCACATACCTGTGGTAGGGTAATGTAACTTGATATCCTAAGGTAGAAACAGCTCCCGTATTAATCTGACAGGAACTGGTATCTTTATCCTGGCTAGGACCACAAACAGTTCAAGCCAGCACAGGCCTTTTATCAAGTTAGTATCACTCTAGTAATCAACTTCTCTGGTGTACTAGTTAGCACAAGCTGGCTCCTGCCTGGGATTGAACCCAGGATCTTGGCATCAGTGCCAACCTCTACCCCACAGAACCGAAGTCAAATCACACAAATCAAACAAATCTTCATGCAGGAATCATGATCTCAAAGATCATAGCCCTACATGGTTTAAAATCTTGCTTTATCTAACCCAGGTCACTTATTCAAATAAATATGGCCCTAATCTAATAAATGAGGTTCAACTTTTAGATTCATTATACATCCATTTAGTTGTGATCAACTCTGTCAAGTGTATGTTTTGTTTTGGGATAATGTTTAAATCAAATACAAATATATCAGCAATTTACTGTAACAGGTTACAGCAACATAAATATAATATTCACTGATTCATGCTATTTAGTTTTCATGGCCACATTTTCACTTTCTGTTGATATATTTTTTATAATATAAGAGTTAAAGCTTTGTAAGTAAAGCATACATTATTTTCTTGCAATTTAGCAGTAAGTTTGTTGCAATGTATATAATTCCTAGTCTACCTCAGCAAGCAGTGTGATTCAATATAGCTTAAGTTCCATTCTTAACATGATACCAAATGAATTGTGAAATTATTCAAATTCGATATATATTTATTTGAGACTAGGCCTGCCTCTTGGTTCCCTTTCTTTGCTGACATAGCCATTTAACAAATTGCTTGATCATTATTATTATATATTAGTGTGTTAAATTATTCCTCACCCCCTTGGTGTGCTTCCACAAGTAAACATACAGAATATGACTATGAAATAAACAAGTAATCAATATATCTACCTCCTATATTGAGCAAAACCAATGCTAAGTGCACATACATACAACATCCCTACAGTGAACAGTCTTTGTAAAGGTGTTAACATTAAGGGTGCTTACAATCACAAGTTTTAGTGTCATGTATTAATTTGTTCTTTTAGAGATGCTGACTTTCATTTGAATTTGATTTGCTATTGAATAATAAATTAACAATTTTCCCATCTAAAATACATTCAAAGATTTGCTGTCAGATTGCAACTTGTATGAAGACACATGTTACGTTCTTGTACAGGGTGACACAAAAGTGTCATTTGTAAATCAAATCTTGTATTTTAATCACTTCATTTTCCTAAACATGAGACAGTTTATGATATCGATCATAATGATGTGTAAATATTAATCTACGTGTAATCCACTATTCATAAATATATTGCTGTATCTCATACTTGAGTGGGTTTGGGGTAGATATCACCCGGGAATATATATCGTATCTGAGGAGCGGGCAGGATATATTGTATATGTCCCGCTCCAGGCCAAATGCGGGCAGATATAATATATCCATCCCGCTCCCGGGAATTTTTCAAAAATTTAAAAATGTTTAAATATCAAAAGTTTTCATTTTTTAATTTTAAAATTAAATTTTTTTAAGTTTAAATGTTACAATTTCATTGTATTGAACAAAGAGAATATTACGAAAATGTTCAATATAAATATCTTGTCATCTGAAAAAGGTGGAAAAGGTTACCCTTATCTACCCTAAACCCACTCAAGTATGAGATACACCAGTTATGCACGGTCGGTTTGGATACATGGAATATCCCTTGGGATATACAATACATCTTCCCTCGGTCCCTTCGGTCCCTCGGGAAGATATATTGTATATCCCTCGGGATATTCCCTGTATCCAAAGCCTCCCAGTGCATAACCCCTATGTATATATTGTGAATAACATAATATGAATAGAACTGTGTGCATCACTGAGGTGAACAACAGTTAACACAATCCAAGATACGGAAATATTTGTCAGTTGGTCCTTTTGGTGCATGTATATGTAACATCTGGATGTTATCCATGCTATTGGAAGTAATATCATTTGTTTAGTAAATATAAACATGAGTTAAGGTTTAGATAGGTATACATTTCAAAGTGATCTGGTATACACAATTTGTTATGTCCCCACCACAAGTGATGACATATTGTTACAGTCTAACTTTTAGTGGACAGTGTTTGGTAGTTGGTGTTTGGTGTTTGACATCTGTAACAAATGGCAGGTGGTGACATTTGCATATTTATGCCTCATATTGACATTGTTGCCATTGTAAAAATACCACATTTAGAATAATCGAATATATGTACAGTATATGGGAACAAATTAATGATTTGTCATTCAAACTCCCTAAATCACCAAGTATACATTGATATGTTGAATGTTGAACATTGATATGTTGACCTGATACAATTATATTGTACATTATAGTAATTGAGGTTTAGAATATCATTACTTCACTCTGTGGGTGTACATTGTAGTTTGTATTTAGATGCAATTAGTTGTTTACCTCAAATTCGCAATCATGATTCATGAATGAATCAATTGTCAGAGATTTGGCCAAAATCCATGTCTAGTTCAAACGTATTATTATGTCACCACCATAAGTGGTGACATATTGGTATTGTTTCAAACTTTTATATCATGGTGGTTGGTGTTTGGTGTCTGTAACAAATGGCAGGTGGTGACATTTTGCATTATGCCTTATATATGTTCTACTAAGCAGTCACTGTATGTGCAGTTTGTTATAGTTCATGCCTGCTCATAGCCTGATATACATGTATAATGTTAAAGGCATCAGGTTTTGCTGCAAACACCTTGTGCTCAAATAAATATACAGCTAGCATGTAGGTAAATAAATAGAATAGGGAGTATCATTGTCATTGAAATGTGATTGTGGGACTGGGCTTAATTAGATTAATTTTAGGTGAAGCCATTACCATGCCAGCCATACGCTTAGCAACATGTATGTTGTTGCTATGGCAGCCAATATAATAACATATTATTTTTGTGTGTGTGTTAATGTTTTCAACCGGTGATTTAATAATAACTGTAACTTGGGTCAATTTGACGCTACTTGATTTACAGTTTTTAGATGGCTGTTCAATTTTTGCATTTTCATACATTCTCACATTATTTAGCAGGCCAAACATCTTATTTCAACAGAATTCCCAGGCCCGTAGCCAGGATTTGCCAAGGGGATTCACTTTTTGAAAAATTCCAGGGGGGTTCACTTGTGACAATTTTGGTCCAAAAATGGCCAAAATCACTTAAAAAGTGCTCAGAATGGTGAAAAATTGCATGATTTTGAAAGATTTTATGGCCAGGGGGGGTTTGCTCGAACTCATCATTGATATAAATTGATAAAATCTCCTCAAAATAAAGCGAGCGACAAATTAACCCATGTAACAGTAAGTAACTTAGTTTGCATTGTGCATTACTAGTGACTTTTAACAACTTTTCTCCAAGTTTTTCAAATATATGTAAAATGATATATGACATTATAACATATATTACACAGGGCCTATGTGTGATAGTCATACTAACTGTAAAGAATGTAGACAAAAAAGTCTGACCAGAATTCTTTGGCTTATAACAAAATCATGATTTTTACAAGTAACTACCATATCAAAATAGACCCAGGGAAATGGGAACAATTATGAATCTGTTTTGTCATTCTATGACATCATACAGTTTGTATGACTAGAAATAACATATAATATATTCCAGGAAAACACCCTATTTAGAGAAAAGTGAGCCGGACTTGCTTTATAGTTGCTCATTATAAATATATATAATTGATATGAATATGTAATATATTGTGTGATTTAGTAAATAGCTGGTGATTGGATAATCCTACTGCTTGCTTAATATATTAACTACTTTAAACATTCAAAAATTAGTTGCCTTGATTACTAGAACAGGTATATGAAATAATTAAGAATTGAGATCTTTCAGTTGAGAAGCTAGTGCAGTTTTTCAAAAGTAAAGTATAAGTACAGTACTGTATTTCTACTCTTCCTTAAAGAGTTTCTTTTACTTGTTTTACTTGACAGTTAACCTTTCCAATAAACCCTTCAATATTTTGATAATCAAAGAAGCTATATTGGCTATTGGCGATGTCATAAGTGTTACTTACTGAACCATGTCGAGTTGTTTTACATTGTAGATCATACAAATCTCTGTCGATAAAAGAGATTTTGAGTATGCTTAAGCCATGTAGCTAATTTCCTTAGTGAATACTTAAACACAAGTATAGATGTCACTTGCTTTGAGATAACTTGAATATAACTTGATAGTTGCAATATGTTTTAATATGCATTATATACTATATCTACACCAGCACAGTTTCCAATACTAATACCTCATCCTTGAATACTCCCTCTTTTTGACAGAAATTGGTCAAAGTTTGGGGTGTTCAAGTTTCGAGGTTTGACTGTATTATGAAATGGGGCTTACTGTTGTTTTTGTTTGTGTCAGATGTACCGTATTATTATGTTCGACATTATTATATTTATGTAATAAAGTGATGGTATTGAAAATTTAAAAAGCATTATATTATTATCTATTTGATAAAACCGTTTTTTCTTCTGCCTATTTCACAATGATTCAGTGATTACAACTGTTTGTCCCAGTAATGCACTATTTAGTGGTCTGTGTGACATACCCTTATAGGAAATGTTTTGAATTTGACATAAATTACTGTCCCAGGGGGTTGGAGTTTGACATAGTACTTCATCCAGGGAGTATGGAACTTTGAAATGCCTATTCCTGATAATCTATTACAGGAGGTTGTTTATCTCCTGGTGACGTGAAAATATGTTCCATTTTAATTATCTGAGAAAAGGCTTACGCATACAGTATAACATATATAAGGCTTATGGGCCATGTAAACCAGCACAGAATATGCAAATTAGATAGATACATACATTATTATATGTATTTATATATATGTATGATATATATACAAACATACATTATTATATGTATTTATATATATGTATGATATATATACAAGCATGGAATATGTTAATAAGATAGACTAGATAATATACATATATAGAACTACAGTAGATACATAACAATTAATTCATTAGTTTGCAGAGAATATGTTA